CAAAGTAGAGAAGAGATCTGACTTTGATGCCTCATTCACAGCTCTTTGGAATCACATGTCAAACTGTCTATAGTAATAAGTATTCAAGTATTAAGTGTGCACAGGGAAAATGAATAACTTTGTCACACACACACACACACACACACACACACACACACACACACACAGTGCTGATGGTTTTCTTTCCACTCCGCACACACACCACCAGCCTCTCTGAAAGAAAGGCACTGGGTGCTTTGACCCTCCTGGCTGTAGGAGTGGGTAGCAAGGACAAGTGTTGATGGATAGAGAGCATATTTTAAAGTTTGGGACTTTAAAGCCATTCAGTTATCCATTTCTTCTCCCATAAGCTTGGAAAAATAGGTTCTCTCTAACCCATCTACATTACAACGGATTGATATTTTCAGGGGTTATCGATGGCAACTGGAAGGGCTAGAATTTGGTTACTGTTGTCCAAGAGTCATCCAGGAGCTACTTTGGGGTAAGGTCTTCACTTTGGCTGCATCATGCAAACTGCACATACCTGTTTCAGGTAAATAAGCTACCACCATTTATAAGTTGCTCCTCTACTCCTGTCGCACAAAGATAGCTTCTCCTGGGCCAATGAAGGTGGTCATGATCCTGCAGTGAACTTGGCCCCACTGCCTACATTTATCTGCCTACAGGTCATGCACCACATTTAGGTCTGCAGCATAGCTTTGGAAGAATTTAGTAACGTTCTCTGAGAGCCCAGGGGCTGGAGGTGAAGGCTCATGACCCTGCCTGCCCTTCTTACGGTCTTTATGGATGTTTGCTTCTAACACTGCATCTTTCTTTTTTATCCCCACTTCTCTCCCTCCCTCTCTTTGTCCAACCCCTCTCCTTTATCTCCTTTGAAAAGACACAACTCAGAACTTATTTGATATTTGAAAATTTTATGAAAGAGAGTCCCAAGTCAGACACATATTGTCTTAAAACCATAGAACTTCATAGCTGGAAGGAGGCATTAAAGATTTTATACGTAAAGATTTTATACACATACAAACATATATACATGTATGTATATATTCTTAAAACTTAAGAGGGTTAGAATACATGTGTATCCATTCTTAAAATGTAAGAGGTTGTATATTGGTGTCTTATTTTTTATTGTTGTTCACTCTTGAAGTGAGTTGTAATGATTACCTTCCTCTGCAAAATTGTGCTAAGATTTCTATAGGAAGTTTCTGAGGCTATGACCTACGGATATGAGTGTCAGATTAGCGATTCTGCTGGAAACTATGACCTCTGCTTCTCTGGATTGGCTAGGTACTTACTTGACCCCTTGCAACCTCTGAACTCATCAGCAAGCCCCTGAACTCATCAGCAAGCCTTCCCTGGCGTTTTCCACACGGATGTCCAGCTTTCCAGCAAGCCCTCTGTTTATTTCCCCCACATATTCTAGGACAGTGTTGGGGGAAGAAGAAATTTCTTCGCCCTCAAGCTTTTTTCTGCTGGTCTAATAATTAAATTTACACAAGACTGATTAGATTAACAAGAGACAATAGCTGAATTTAATTACATATATATGTATGGGAACCCCACACACGAGTGAGTCAGAGACAGAAAGGGAAAATGAAGTATATGTGGCATTCTGGGCTAAAGATGAGGTAAAGTACCTTGGGACTTCAGGGAGAAAGGAAGGTCGTTCGCAGGATGATAAGAAGAGCAGATGTTCAGCAAGTAATAGTTTGCGCTGCCATATAGATAAGTCGTAAAAAGTTATTTCTGGAGATAACTCTTAGTAAGGGCAAGTCCCCTCATTTAAATTCTTTAAGGGAAAGATAAAAGTTTCTCATGAACCTGCAGGGTCTCGGTTGCCTTCAGCTCAAAATAATTCATATGCCCTAGTGGCACATTTTGGGATGACTCATTCTGACCACTACAACAACTAACCTGATCCAAATCCCTCTTATCCCTGAGGTAGTAACTGAAAGTCAAAGACCAAAAACCTTATCCGGTAGAGATGCTCTTTCTTCTTAATGAACTACATCAGACTCCCCCCACCACATCTCCCCCACATTTCTTTTGAGGCTGTGGCCGGCACCCCTCACCCTGATGCCACCATCACTCTGAATGACAGGGCAGGAGCCCCCAGTCACTCTATGTGGCCATGCAGAGTGCAGACTAGAGGTTAGCAAACTTATTTGTGAAGGCCCAGATGGTAAATATTTTAGGCTTTGCAAACAATACAGTCTTTGTTGCAGCTTCTTAACTGATTGTAGCTGGAACACAGTAATAGATGATATGTAAACAAACGGGCATGGCTGTGTTCCAGTAAAGCTTTATTTAAAAAACATGGGGATTCCTAGTTTGTCAACACTGCTCTGAAGGATAACCATCTCTATTTGGGCTCAGGAGACTCTTCCTGCCAAGATTTTTATCAGCAGACTCACCAATCCAATGTGTTTCTATGTGGGATGACAAGGGAAACATGAGATGAAACAAAATCTGTCAACATATGAAATCCATATGCTGTTTGTTTCCTTACCCTAACCAGAGGAGACCATTGTCAACATAGAAGTAACTGGAAGTTTCTGGTCCAGTGTACATCAAAGGCAGCTGGGAAGTAGCTAGAGAGTTTGAAGTGGAGGGTTTCTTGACCATAGCAAATTCTCTCAAATCTATCTCGAGCAGCTGCAGTATTTCCTCCTTTTAATTCCACTAGGACCTGGTGTGACAGTGCATGAGCTGGAAGGGAGAGAGACTTCATATCCCTCACCTGCACATCAAGCCTGAGATTTAGAAGGATCATTTCAGAAATGGTCTCTGGAAAAGAAAAGTAGAAAACTGCTGATTTTTTTCTTCAAAACTTTTTTGGCTGTGGGACAAGTCAGAGAAAAACTGGAGAAGTTTTCATGGAGCAAACTTCTTTGGCCAGGCTTAATTCAGCAGTAATTGTCTTTGTTTTTGGCTTTCCCGTGTTTTTTCATTTTTATCAATATAATTTACCAACTGGAGAATGCACAGAACTTACATGTATTGTTCAATGAATTCTGATAAATGTATACACCTCTGTAACCACCACCTAGATATTGCCGTTGCTCCAGAAAGTTCTCTCATGCACCCTCCCTTTTCAGTGACAGTGCTGGAAAAATTGGATAACTTTATGGAAAAATGAACCTAACTTCATATGCAGAAATTAATTTGAGATGAGCCATACACTGAAATATAAAAGATAAAACTACAAAGCTTCTAGAAAAAAAAAAACAAAAACGGGAGAATATCTTTACAGCCGTGAGTTGGCAAAGATTTCTTAGGATTAAAAAGCTATATATAAGATAAAATTAATAACTTAAACTTCATTAAAACTAAAAACTTCTCGTCATAAAGAAACTCCATTAAGAATATGAAGACTAGACACAGATTGGAAGAAATACTGGCACTACATGTATCTGTCAAAGAACTTATATTCAGAGTACATAAATAACCCTGACAACTCAATAATAAAAAGTCAAATGACTGAATTTTTTATAGTGGGAAAAAAACTTGAGTAGACATTTCACTAATGAAGCTGTATGAATGGTCAATAAGCACAGAAAGTGCTCAACATCACTAACTGTCTGGATAATATAATTTAAACCAAAATGAGAATATCACCATATTCATTAGATTGGTTAAAATTAACATTGATGAAAATGCGAAGCAATCAGAACTCATATATTGCTGGTAGGAATGTAAAATAATACAACCAGTTTGGAAAACTCGGACAAGTTCTTATTAAGAAAATATCTTCCTGCCCTACAACCCAGTAATTCCAGTCCCAAGAAAAATGAAAACTTCTGTTTACAAAAATACTTATACAAGTAAGTTTTGACAACTTTATTCATAATACCTCAAACCAGAGAGAACTCAAATGCCTATCAATAGGAGAAGGACAAACTGGAATGTTTATGTAATGGAATATTACTCAGGACAAACTGGAATGTTTACACTAATACAGTGCTAGAAGCTAGAACAATAATTGCCTATGGATAGCAGAGATTGTATGGAAGAGATTGAGGGAACATTGTTGGCTAATGGTAAGGTTCTAAATGTTGACCTGGATAGTGGTTGCATGGCTGTATACATTTATCAAATCTCACTGAATTATATTTGAGAATTTTGCATTTCTGTATGTAAATTTTACCTAAGTAAAAAAGGCAACACGTTTTAATCTATAGGGTAACCATTAAAAGACTAGTACAAAAGTTATAACTAATCAGTTAATAGATGAGAAAGAATAGAATAAGTAAGAAACCTGATCTATCCAAAAGTAGGTAAAAAAAGAGACAAAGGAATGTAGAACGATTTGGTCAAATAAAAATCAATGTAAGATAGAATTAAATGAAAATCTATTGGTAACTTAATGATGGACTAAAAGCTCCAGTTAAAAGATAAATATTATCAGACTAAATTCAAAAACAAGACCCAATAATATGCTATTTACAAAAGACATGCTATAAATACATGGACACATAGAAGTGAAGACATAATAATGGAAAAAGACATACAAACACTAAATAACAACAACAAAAAAACATGGCATAGGTGTACTAATATCATATAGCTAGACTTTAAGATCAATAGAATTATTAGAGACAGGGACATTCATAATGGTAAAAAGGGCAAATCCAGAAGGAAGATATATAACAAACTGCAATTTGCATAAAATATATTCAATAAAAATTATAAGAACTAAAATAAAAATAAACGAGCATATATTATAGTTGGAAATATGAACATATCCCTCTCAACTGGCAACATTGCACCTAAACCCAGGTTTAGCACAGAGGGAGCGATCACCTCCCCTACCTACCTTACCTGACTGCAGATTCCTGAAGTTGGTGGGGCGGAGAGCAACCGGAAGGAGGAGCTCAGTCGGCTCCGCCCACAATCCTCCGCGTTCCTCATTGGCCCCGTGAGCTCGAGGCTCGTGACGTCACATGCGTGCGCCCCTCGTGTGAAAGGGGGGCGCGGCTCACCGAGGAGGAGACAAGATGGTGGCGCCCGTGGGACAACTGTACCTGAGACTGCTGCGCGAGGTCACGCCGTGGCGGAACAGGTATGGTGCTTGGGGAGGCTGCCTCGGGGACGGGGGTGGCCTGGGCCAAAGGGGAGAAAGGAGTCGTTTCTCTATCGCGGGCTCACTCTGAGGAGAGCTCGGTTGAAGACAGCCACCCACCTTCACCTCGAGCTCGGGAGCAGGTACGACTGCCGCCGCGTAGGGCGGTCCGGGTTTAGTTAGGGTCTGGCTTAAGCGCTCTCCATTTGCCCTTTCCAACTAGGTGGAAGGGCACAAAGGACAAGGAAAGAAATGGAATAAGCTGCGTCCCCTCCACTAGAGTCGAGACAGGAGTGGACGCCTCTCTCGGGGATTCGAATCCTCTCTAACGGATTCGAAGGGGCGGTGTCATGTGGGAAGAGCACTGGACTGAGAGTCCGGCGCCTTTCGCTTTGGATTGTTGTTCTTTGAAGCGAGGGGTTTAGGTTTGGTAGTCTATTATGGAATTGGGGTCTTGGTTACTGTAGTGACTCCCAACCTTGGGTTCTGAGAGCTGGGAGACACCTGAGGGGTCATCTAAATCCACCTCTTTTTGGAGTTGGCAAAATCGAGGCCCTAAGGGAGGGACTTGTTCAACTTCACCAGAAAGTAGCAGAGCCAGGACCCCGACCCGGGTACCCTATCTCTCATACAAGAACTTTTCCCTCAGGCTGCTCACCGTTTGGGCATTTATTATTATCCCAATACCTTAGTAGCATTTGGACTCTCGAAAAATGGATTAAAATGCTGGTAGCAGTGACTCAGAGTCAGCTGCTGGGTATCATTTCAAAGAGCGACAGTTTAAGAGACGCAGGGTACTTTTGTGTTTCCAGCAGGGTTCATTTTATCAGCGTGACCTAAGCTCGCTCTGTGACCTATCATTGTAATTTTGGGAAGTAGAAGTACACTGGATTTGGACTGAGAGGGAACAAAAACTGTCGTTGGTTTTGTCATGAAAGCTTAACTCTCCCATTATTAACTATTCAGAGGTAGTGTAGCTCTCTCAGGAGGGGGCTCTGCAATGCGGTAGTTTAACTGTTCGGATTTGGACAGGTGGGGCTCTGTGGTTTCGTCATTACCAGGTGTGCTGCTGTCGTCAGCCATGAATTCTTCTAAACTGTGTCATGAGTTGGAAAGACTAAAAAATGACACTCCTAAAATGTTTTTTAAAAATGTACTCACTCAGTGTCATTAAAAAAGGGAGGAAGGTCACACTTTAGTGCCAATGTACGTAGAAAAGATGATTTAGGTGCAGTGGTTGGGAGGGATGAGGGTTTGTGTACATTAAGAACTCTTAATTTTCAAAGGAATGATATAGCAAGACAAGAAACTATTGATACATGCAGAAAACAAAAAGATAACATATTTTTGAGTTTTAAACAAAGCAGGATCTGTGAGACATAGATGAAAGCCTCGTATTTGCAGGTAAGTTTTTCAGTGACAGGGTGATTTGTGACAGGTGGTAGAACAAAGAGAAAACAACATCTTGGGTGATAATTTAGAGCCATGTTTCCCAGAATTAAATTTGATAAAAGAATGAGATGGTTATTTATTAGAAATAGAGATTCCCAGATATATCTTCACCCTGTTGCCAAACTCAGATTCAGTAGGTGTAGGTGAAGGCTACAAATGTCCCAGATGATACTTAGGTTCAGGCAAGTATGGACATAGAACCTAGGGAGTGGTTGATTTTGCAAGACTTTCATTCTGAAATATTATGACATTCCTGGCACTGCAAACCACAGTGCCAGGAACCAAGAAGGAATTGGGGGGGAATGAGAAGAATTAAAAGACATATTTGAAATAGGCCTCATGTTTAAAGAATTTTGCAGTTTAGTAGAAGAGAAAGGAAACACACTACTGATATTAAGAATGCTTTATAAGCAAGACAATATGGGCACAGACCAGTCAGCATGGACACAATTGATATGGCTATCCTAGTGTGTGCCACATGAATAGTAACTCTATTTTAATAATAGTAATATTATAATAGTGATGTGTAGGTCCCGTTTTTACAGGTGGAGAAACTGAGGTTTAAAATTAGTTAAGAAATTTCCTAAGGTCAAAGAGGTAATAAATGGCAGAACTGAGATTTGAGCCTCTTGATCAGACTTGAGTGCTTAATCAGAGGCTTTAATTGCCTACTTTTAGGATTTTCACGTGAGTTCACCATGTGGAAGAGACATCTGATTGATCTTATCCATTCTCTCTGGGGCTTAATCTCTTTGTTGAGATTGTACTGCAGTGAGAAGACAAACCCATTCCTTTACTGAGACATACAGACAGTATACAAGCAAATATATATATATTTAGAATCTGTTTCAGATAATAAGAAGTGCTATGAAGAAAAATAAAGGATGGTATTTCAGGGGTTAGAGAGTGCTTCAGGGGAGCAACTCTTGGGCATATGGTGGCCAAGAAAAACCAAACTGAGGAGGAAACATTTGAGCAGAGAACTGAATGGTAAGGGATTAATCCACGTAGAGGGGTGTGCTCAGTAGAGCAAATAGCAAATGCGAAGGTGTGGAAGGGGGCACGAGTGTGGTGTGTACAAGGTTTGGCAAGGAGAATGAGTGAGGAGGAGAGGGAAAGCAGCAGGAGATCTGAGATTTCAGCAACTACCAATTATACAGGGTCTGGTCTTATTTTTTCTTTTGAAAAGATCACTCTGGCTATTTTGTGGTGAACAAGATATAGAGGGCCAAGAGTGGAAGCAGAGAGAACAGGTGGGTAAGAGATCAGGTGGCTTACGCTAGGGTTTTATTGTACTTTGGTTTATCGTGCTTCACATATGTTGCATTTTTTACAAATGGAGGGCAAGACCTTCCACCAGCAAAAAAATTACATTATTGGGGTACTTGCTTTATTGCAGTGGTCTAGAACCGAACTCACAATATTTCTGAGGTAATGGGGGATATGAAAAATAGGGAGATAAGGATATATTTTTGAAGGTCTTCATGCTTTGCTAGTGGATTGAATGTAGATAGTATGAAAGAAAGGACTTAAGAATGAGTCCTAGGGTTTTGACTGGTGTAGCTGAGTAAATGATGGTGCCTTTTTCTGAGGTAGTGTACCAATTTTAGTAATGCTGCTACTATAACAGGTAAACCCCAGCATCCCAGTGACTTAACAGAGTAAAAGTGTTTATGTCTTGATCTTATAAAGTCCCAGTGAGAGCTCCTGTTAGGTGGGACAGCAGTGATTCGAAGACCCAGTCTCCTGTCATCTTTAGCATATGGCTTCTCAAGGTCTGTGTGTTTGTCTGCCTCAAGCAGGCTGAAAGGGGAACACCTGGAGGTGGATGCCTGGGAAGCCTGCATGGTCCTCACATTGATTAGAACTCAGTTCTGTGGCCACACCCTACTGCAGAGGAAGCTGGAAAACGTAGTCTCTTGTGTTCCCAGGAAGAAGAGGAAGAGGATTTGTTAGACATTTGGCTAGTGTCTACCACAGATGGACAGCTCTGGGAGAGGAGTAGGTTGAAGAGGAGTGAGGGAGGGTCAGAAATTCTGTTTTGGGCAGACTCAGTTTGAGATGATTGAGAGTGAGAATGTTGGGTAGCCAGTTGGAAATACGGATCTGGAGGTCTCTGAAGGAGCAGTGAGGGAATCACCAGTATCTGGCTGTTTAAAGATGGGACTGAATGAGCATCTCTAGGGAGAGAGCGTAAACAGAGGTCTGAACCTTGGTATGGCACTGGTTTAAAGTTAGGGAGAGACCAGAGAGGTAGGAGGAAAATCAGAGTCCCAGAAGCCAAGTGAGGAATTTATTTCACGAAGAAGAGGGTGAAGGGGGTCAAAAGATACAAATTTCCAATTATTAAACAAGTCATGAGGATATAATGTACATCATGGTGAATACTGTTAATAATACTGAATTGCATATTTGAAATTTGCTAAGAGTAAATCTTAAAAGTTCTCAGAAGAAAAAAAACTTGTAACTGTATGGTGAATGATGTTAACTAGACTTATTGTGGTGGTCATTTTGCAGTATATACAAATATCAAATTATGTCATGCACCGGAAACTGATAGGATGTTATATGTCAATTATACCTGGATTAAAGAAAGGAAAAAAGGGTCAACTGTGGCAGATGCTACTGAGAGGTCAAATAACTTGAGGCCTAAGAAATGTGCGTTGATGTGGGCAAAGTGACATGATAGGAATAAAAACCTGGTTGAGTGGGATTAAGAGAAAGTGGGAGGTGAGAAGTGGTGACAGTGAACATAGCTCTTTTTAAGAGCTTAATATGAAGGAGAGCAGAAAAGTGGGTAGAAACTAGAGAGAAGGATACATAGTGGACAGTGTTTATGTATGATTGGAGGAAGTATAACATTTATATGAGGATAGGAATGATCCAGTAATAAGACAAGTTGATATAATGGGTCATTTGCCAGGAGCTGAGGGCTACAGCACTGTAGGAGAGGCAAACTGGGTTCTCAGGCAGGGCTGCTGACGGAGGAAGACCCATACTCAAACTACCTGAGTGCCTTGCATCTGGTTACAGTGGCTAACCGATTATCTTCCATTTGTACCTCCCCCAGCCAAACAAACAAACAAACAAACAACAAAATCATTCAACAATCTACAAACATTCTTTTATTTTTAGTTGGGAGTTCAGAATTAATTCTGGAACACAATACAGTAGTGTACAGAACACAGTAATGTACCTTTTAATCAATTTTTACACTTGTTCTGATTGTTTGGAAAGCAGAGTTTTAGGCTTTTAGCTTTTGTGGTGGGCGTATCCAGTCTGAGATGAGTATTGTTGAATGCTGAAAGAATGGTCGTAGACCTTCTTTGTGTTAATAGCTGTACATCTTTCTGGCTTGAGGGATGGTGATCATCATGGTCTCATGCTTTTTTCTGTATACAAATCTTATTTGCCTATTGGAGGATCAGATTCATCACATTAGCCATACTTGCACCATGTTTCGAGGGTATTTTTAAGTCAAGGAAATTTCATGTGAAAAAATGAAGGTGCCTAAATCTGATAATGTTTACAGGATACTTATATAAGACATAACTACTAAATATCCATGAAAATAAATATTATCGTATGTATAAATGCAGTTGTTTTTCACAAAAATATCAATTTAGACATTTATAATCATTCTATCATAAAGGGCTCCAAGGAAAACAGAAAGACTTATTGACAAGGACATAGTTTCTTTAGATTTCAGGTCAGCGTATGGGGAAACTGAAGTGCCGTCTGAATTGAAAGTGGAATGTTTGCTCTTTAAGGGAGATCCAACTGTTAACCAAAAAGTCATTAATGCTTTACTCACGGGCACTGTCACTTACTGCCACTGGGGATATGTCAGTTTCCCTGGCTGAAGATAAAACAGAGAAGAGAAACTAAATCAGAAATATTTTCTTAGAGTTTCAAAGCTATGAAAATAATTGATTTTTTTTTCTTTAGGCTGTTTGAAACCTATTCACTGTGTCAAAGTAGCATTTGTGGCAAAGTAGCCACAAAAGATAATTCCAAAGTTCTAAACCATTGAGCCTTCCAGACTTGAAGTAGATTAGAATAGTTCAATATGACTTGTTTGTGCCTTTTTTTTCCCCAGCACACTTAAAATTTAAAACTTCGGTATTAGATTTAGGGTTAGGTGCTTACAAGGCTATGTACAGCTCTTCTTTTGTGATGCAGAAACACGGCATTGTGTAGGAACGCTGGCTTCCCTGCTTATTATGATCTTATGCTTAGTTAAGAAAACTAATTTTTTATTGTGAAATAGTTTCAGACTTACTGAAAAGTTATAAAAATAGTACATAGAATTCCCAAGTACCCTTTACCTGGATTCTTCAAATGTCAACTGTATTTGCTTTATTATTCTCTCTCCCTTTCCTTTACTCTCTTCCTTTCTTGATGTGTATACATACGCATATATATTATTTTCTGAAACATGTGAGAGCAAGTTACAGATTTGATGCCCCTTTACCATTAAATATGTCAGCCTTTTTCCTACAAGGACATTTTTTTACATGACCATAGTACAGTGGCCAAAACCAGGAAATTAAGACTGATACAGTACTATTGTTGAACCTGTAGCCTATATTCAGATTTTGCTAGTTGAGCTAATTTTTTTTTAATTTTAAGAAAAATATTTAATGGTTCATTTTTGCTTGATTATAGCCTCCTTCACTGTGAAATCACTGCCCCGAGCCATTTCCTACAAGCCTTAAGGAAGCTTCCTCTCAGAGCCTTTTCTACAAGTAAGTAACAATTAGAGGTGATATTGGCCTCTCTGTGCTTCAGTTTGCTCTTTAGTAAATTAGGATACACATAGCACCTAATCCATAGATTCGTTGTTAGAATTAAGTGAAATCGTACCCATGAAGTGTTTATAATGTGCCTGGCATGTAGTGATTACTGAAGCACTAGCTATTATCTCATCGTTTTTGTGGGCTGCATAGTATTCTGTTGTATAACTGTACCATTCGGTGTTCTGCATTTATTTTCAGACTTCCCACTACAGGCAATTCTGTAGTAACATATCTTTGTGCATCTTTAGGATCAATTTATAGAGGTGTAATCGTTGGATCAAAAGATTTATGTATTTTATAGTTTGGTATTTAGGCCAAATTGCTCTTCAAAGAGGCTTGTCCCAGTTTACCCTCACATAAGCAGGAAGTGTTCATGAGTACATCAGTTCCCCACACCCACACTGTGAATCATGAACCTTTTTGATCTTGTAAGCAGCTATTTGAACCCCTCCGAAAATGTGTCTTGTCTTTAGAATCTAAATACCCTTTTTATTCTGTCATAACAAAAGCTATTTTTAACTGCCAAATAAGTACCTTAAGAAAATGAGATGATTGATGAGAACAAAGACATAAAGCTTATTGTAGAGAATAGTAACACATCTATGTGTCATTTAATTAGGACTTGCATGCCAGAACATGTAGGAATCACATGAAAGATAAAGGTGGGGAGCCTCAGAAATTAAGCTATAATCTTGGATCTGCAGAAAAGCTGTGCTTTTATTTAAAAAAATAAAACAGAGCAGTGGTCAGGAGTGGAGGGCACTCTCTATTTACTATCTCCTTTTGGAAGAGTAAAGTAACAAGAGAAAGAGACCTATAATTGAAGAAAGGACCAGCGTCCCAGACACATTGAGTAGAGTGGGAATTGTCAGACTAGGATGCTGGCTCAAGGAAGGGGGTATTCAGCAGTTCTCTTGTCACCAGATATTTTAGAAAGACAAAACAATTTTTTTCTCGCTTTTTGGCAAGTCTTTCTTGGTCAGAGGTAGAATATTTAGTTATTAAGTAGTAAGGGTTCATTAAGAGTACGTAGAAGATGGGAGAGAGTAATGACACCCACACTTCCTCATTAAAAAAAGAAACAGCAACAACCAAAACATGGATGGTTACGTGGGGAGCAGGACAGTTTCCTTCCATTGGAAGTCAAAGGTAGTATGAAGGGTATGCTCTTTGGTTTTGCACAGGCCACTAAGAATTCGGCTCTTGAGATTTTATTTTAATAATTTTATTGAGATATAATTTGCATACCATAAAATTCGTCCTTTTAAGTGTGCAATTTGGTGATTTTTAGTGGTTTTTACAGAGTTGTGCAGCTGTCACCACTACCAAATTTTTAGAACATTCCCTCCTCGCACCCCCCATCAATAACACTTGACCCATTAAACTCACTCCCCATTTCTCCCTGCCCCCAGCCCCTGGCAGCCACTAATCCACTTTGTGTCTCTGTGATATGTTTCCTGTACTGGACACTTCATACAATATGCAGCCTTCTGTGGCTGGCTTCTTTTTCATAATGTTTTCAGAGTTCATGTTATAGTGTGTCAATACTTCATTCCTTTTTATTATCAAGTAATATTCCACTGTATGGATGGACTACATTTTGTTTATCTACTCATCAGTTGATGTACATTTAGAATGCTTCCATTTTTTGGCTGTTATGAACAGTGCTGCTATTGAACATTCTTGTGCAAGTTTTTATGAAGATACGTGTTTCACTTCTTTTAGGTATGTTTCTAAGAGCAGAATTGCTGGGTTATGTGGTAATTTCATGTTTAACATTTTGATGAACTGACAAACTGGTTTTCAAAGTGGCTGCCTCATTTTACCATCCCACCATCAGTGTATGAGTGTTCAGATTTCTCCACATCCTTGCCAAGACTTATCCTTTTGATTATAATCACCCCAGTGGGTATGAAGCGGTATCTCACTGTGGTTTTTATTTGCATTTCCTTGATTACTGCTGATGTTATATTGGTTTGCTAGGGCTACTGTAACAAATTACCACAAACCAAGTGGCTTAAACAATAGAAATTTATTCTCACAATTCTGCAGACCAGAGGTCTGAGATCAAGGTGTAACGGGGTTGCTTCCTTCTGAGAGCTGTGAGGGAGAATCTGTTCCAGGCTACTTATCTAGTTTCTAATGGTTTGCTGGCCATCTTTGGCTTCTTTGGCTTGCAGAAACATTACCTTGATCTCTGCCTCCATCTTCCCATAAACATTCTCCCTGTATGCATGTCTGTATCCATATTTCACCTTTTTGTAAGGACACCAGTCATTGGATTTGGGTCCACCATAATGACCTTATTTTAACTTGATTACCTTTCTAGAAACCCTGTATCCAAACAAGGTCATATTCTGAGTTACCAGGGGTTAGGGCTTCAACATGTGAACTTTAGGGAGACACAGTTCAACCCATAACAGATGTTGAACATCTTTTCATGTGCTTATTGGCCATTTGTATATCTTCTTGGAAGATATGTTTCTTCAAATCCTTTGTACATTTTTCAATTATTTGCCTTTTTTATTGTTGAATTGTGAGAGCGTATGAGATTTTGCATTTGAGAATATTAGTGTCCAATCAGAAGTGGGCTTGGATTGTTAAGATCAGATAGCCCTGGGTGAGAAGTGGTACCTGGATCCCAATCCTGAACCTATTGGTGGCCGACTGGGCAACCTTGGTTAATTTCTTGCCCTCTTTGTGATTCAGTGTTTTCTTCTTAAATTCTGTGACTGTGGTGGCAATTGGGGTGCATTATAGTTTCATAGGAAAGATGCTTGTCCCTTACTTATAGATAGAATTTGGAGATAGAAGGGTCTTAGTAATGACTCAGGGTTGCACCTGCCTGTCAGAGCCATTTAGAGTCTAGTCACCTTTACTGAAGGCTTCAAAGATATATTGATTTTTCCTAGCCCTCCTGTTGGTGCTATGTTTGCATGACTCATTCTTATCCCTTCTCTCAGGCTCAACATTTTTCTTTTTGTTGTTTTTACAGATGCCAGAAAAGTCCACACTGCCCCTGCTCGAACCATTTTCCGGCTGCGCCCACTTCGCTTACTGTTTGTTACAGGTGGAGGGTATGCAGGTTACCGGCAGTATGAGAAGTACAAGGAGCAAGAGCTGGAGAAGCTGGGATTGGAGATTCCGCCCAAACTCGCTGGTTACTGGGAGGTAGGAATAAGGTGGAACCACCTTGATTTTTCATCTAGCACAACTGTCTTTTAAATGCCCCAGAGTAGAAATGTTTGAAAAAGTGAAATGTATTTTCTTGGAGCTCATGTCTCCAGTGGGTGTTTGGCCAGTTATAGAAGTTATATCTTCAGCGTCATGCCACGTTTCCCATTTGTCTTCAGATCTACCCTTGGTTTCCCCAAGGGCTCTGAGTAGGAATTACCCGAAATCCTCAGAGTTCATGCTTTATGTTGGGGCTGGCATCCTGGCTGTTCATGCCCTTCTCAGTCTGTGAATGTGCTGAAATGGTTGGACTTTGGGATGTGGACAAGTTCTCACCAGGAACCAGACTGAAATAATCAATTTCCTTTGTTGTTAATTGCTCAGAATGCTCCTTTACATTAGGGTCACACGATAGGGACAGGCTTCGATGCTGTCAAACCAAGTGTGATACGTAATGAACCATCTTATTCGTCTGTGTTTCCCGTGGCCCAGGGGGATACCTAACTCAGAGGAGATATTCAGCAAATATTGAAATTGAGTATAAAGGCCATAGGTTTTAAAATTGCCTTCTTTTCAGTTATAATTTAACAGATGAAAAATCTGAAATGTCAATAGATCCTGGTAACCTGGGCAAAGGAGGGGTGAAAGTAGAGACTTTATGGTATTTGGAACGATGCCTTTGGGTTTCTTCACGAGCCACTCCGTATTGGTAATCTAGCTCAGCTGAATCCAGTAGCCAGAGCATCTGAGTTCTGAAGGCAACTCCTAACCATGCTCCTCAGTAGCTGTGTAAACTTGGGCATGTCACTTTCCATCTGGCCCTCTGTGTCTTCAACTGTAAAACAGTGGGTTGGATTGGAACCTGACTCTGAGAGCCCTTCCTGCTCTGACATAGTTTATCTAGGAACCGTTGACATTTGCATTACATGCTACATATAGGCTTTCTTCCAAAATCCCGTTGTGAATTTAGTTTTCACCCTCTTCCTCCAACAGAATCCAGTGTAAGGATTTCACTTGATTTGCAGCAGTCCTAAAACTGTGACTTACTGAAATGGCCATACAGATCCAGATGTGACCATTACTCTAAGAGGTCTGTGTGCTCATGTGTCCGTCTTTTGGCCTGTTCATATGCTTTGGACTTTACAATAACCTTCGTCAGACCAAAAGAAAAAAGGGATTTTCTGTTTTCCGGTAATAGATCACAAAATCCTTTTGGTGAAGCGTAATTGCGTAGCACCTGAGTCACACTTTCAGAGTATGCTGTGCTGTTTATTTCCTATAACATCGATGGTTTCCTGTAAACATACCCTTCTCCTTTAGGCTAATAAAGTATTTGTAAGACTGTGATCTTATGACTGCACTCGAGTGTTAGACCCAAACTAGCTTTTCTCTGATCCCAGGCATTTGTCAGGCTGCCTCATCGCTGTGATGAGCTCGCATGCTCTTAGGAAATTCCCACTCATTTCAAAAGTATCCCAAGAGAATCTACATTTGGGAGAAATTGCTACTTCCAGAATCATGAAAGAAGAATGTCAGTAATTTTTTTTAACATCCACAGCTTATATAATTGAGATTATTGCCATATATGAGTCAGTACCTAAAAGATGATTGTTTGTAAAGAGGATGGAGTTTATTAGCTCCTAAGTTTTAGGACCTGAATACTAACAGGATACTGGTATGGAGTGGCCTAGTGTAGCGTGAGGTCTGAAGCCCCTATTGGTAAAGAACTGGGCTTAAGTTAGATACTGTTCTTTTGGTTGAGTAAAATGGAAACAGGACTGCTCCTGAATTTCAAAGTAGGGCTGCAGCATATCACTTTATGAAGGGGAAATGGACTCAGAGTGAACATTGTAAAATTTCGGGACAGGCAACTGGTTATGAGAAGGAGAGTTCTGAACTGGCAACTAGGGGCTGGATCCTAGCTCTACCCCTAGCCCCACCTGATCACTGTCATCTCGTACAGAAAAAGAGAGTGCCTCAATCTGGTTGATCATCAGAATTGTTGAGGAACTTTAAAAATTAAGGATTCTTTAGTTTTACCCTGAAAGGTGGGACAAGGCCCAAGATCTTTGTTTTCAGAAAGCACCCTGGATGATTCTGATGACAAGCCAGATTTAGGAACCGTGGGCAGATGAGCTGTAAGGTTCCCTTCAAGGCTCCATTTTTAAATGGCACATGGAAACTTGTGGTGGTGATTTCATTGGAATATAATCTCTTCATATCCTGAGGTCAAGTCTGACATCTCTGGAGCTGAGCGAGAAGACAGGCTGATAATTACTGCTGAGATGAGCCCCTGGGGTCAGTGCCATAGTTGAGGTGATTGGATGATTTTGTTTTACCAAATAGCATTTTCTGGATTTCCAAGAGATAAACACAGGTGGAAGGGGCAGTGTAGCCTTCCCTACATATGAAGCACTCCTGTTAGCCCCTATGGGTCAGTGTGCCAGCAGGAAGCCTTTGTTCCCCTTTCCCATTTGTAAATTTCTCTTGTGCCAGAGAAACATCTGGTTATCACTCTGTATCAAAACTCTTTCAGAGCCCAGTTGTAATACCCTGTGTTGAACAGCACCTCAGTTTTTCTGAACCTTTTTTAGTTAACGACCGCTCACAGAAGTGGGCAGAGCAAATGGTAGAGAGACTTTACAAATGGAAAGACTAGGTGGTAGCAGAGTGGGTTCCAGAACAGAGATCTGTTGATGCCAAATCCTATACTCTTTGAACAATACCTTGTTACTGGTAAAAAGTGCTCTCAGTACAGAAGTTAGACAGTGACAGCAAGAGATGGAGGTGAGCTACCTGCCCACCAGGGCTTGCTGTGTATTTGAGGTGACTCCATGCTCTGAGGGCTCTGACTGCTTAAATGTGAGGCAAATTTGACTGCATTGACTTGAAAAGTTGTTTGTGGTAATGCAGATGAGCATGCACACTAGGCAGTCTTCCGCTAGCAGACTGCTCCTGAAGAATTTATACCAGTAGCTTTTCTTTATTGAAATAAAGATTTTTTTTTTGTTAACAGTATAAAAGAAACTGTAATTCCAAAATCTGTGCCACCTCACTCACTGCAAGCTGCACTCTGGGGTGCGGGCAGAGGGCACAGCTCTTACAGAAGGGCAGTGAGGAGGGGGAGAGTTGGATAGGGTATAAAGGTACTTGAGCTCTGGGCGCCATCAGCTCTGTGACCTTAACCATGTTTCACCTTTCCAGATTCTGTTTTTACATATTTAAGAAAATGTTTCCAAGATCTTTGCCTAGGACTCATGTTTTTTTTATACTGGGAAAAAAAACTTGTAATTGGCCAAAATTACAAACGAAACCTAAATGCCTACTACTGTGGGATTATGGGAATTCTGTAATAGCAACAGTGTAACCTATTAAAGAGAGGCTTCAGTCTTTCTTTATATGGTCATGTGCTGCTTAATGACTAAGGGGATACATTCAGAGAAATGTGTCCTTAGGTGATTTCATTGTGCCAACGTTGTAAGAGTCTGCTTACACATGTGGGCCGTGTGGTACATCACCATTGTATATGCGGTCCATCATTGACCGAAACGTTTATTCAGCGCATGACTGTGTATATAGTTTCACCTTCCCCAATGTAGAAATAGCTTTGTCTTTTATCTAATTATCTAATGTTCATTTAAAAAAAATCAGAAAGCATTGCAAAATATGAAGATGAAAATGACGACGACCCATAATCCCACAACCCACAGGAAACCGTAGTTGACGTTTTAGGGAACATAGCCTTTCCAGGATTTTGGCTGTGTTTAATTAATAATATGTATTGTTAATTTTTATTTTTAATGAGATAGTCTTTAAAATTTTAAATAAAATATAATCATGTAAAAATTTAAATAATAAAGGATTTACACTGATCTTCCACTCTCCACTCTTATCTACTAATCACATTCTCTCTAGAATCAAGCATGCATTTTTAACATTTCTTGTGTATTTTTCCAGAAAGTCTATCCATACTTATATTTTTCATATTTAAAGTTGATGTGATTTTTTTCAGTTTTACTGAGAAATAATTAACATACATCATTATATAAGGATAAGGCATAGAACATGATGATTTGATTTATACATATCGTGAAATGATTACCACAGTAGGTTCAGCTAACCTCCATTATCTCATGTAGATACAATAAAACAAAAAAGAAAAAAAATGTTCTTGTGGTGAGAACTCTTATAATTAATTCTCTTAACAACTTTCCTATATGTTACACAGTAGTGTTTAGTCATTGTGTTGTACAATACATCCCTCAACCTATTTGTCTCATAACTGGAATCTTGTACCTTTTGACTACCTTCCTTCAGTCCCCCCATCCCTGCTTTCTGATGTCTTTCATGAGTTTGTTTTTTCGTTGTTGTTGTTAAGATTCCACATATAAATGAGATCACACAATATATGTCTTAGCATAATGCCTTCAGAGTCCATCCATGTCACAAATGGTAGGATTTCCTAATCTTTTATGACTGAATAATACTCCATAAAAGAATATTGCGTGTGTATGTGTATATACATATATACTATAGCTTCTTTATCCATTCATCCATCAGTGGATACTTAGGTTGTTTCCATGCCTTAACTATTATAAGTGATGCTGCTGTGATCTAATTTTTTAAGTCATCTCTACTGAGGTATTATTTACATTCAGTTAAAATGCGTTTTTAAAGCATACAGTTCATTGGTTTTTGATAAATGTATACACTTGTGTAGTAACTGCCATACTTATGATAGAGAACATGTGCTCCTACTGTACTAAGGTGTGATCCTTCTAGGATATTTACTAAATGCCCCAGGTATTCAGTGAGAACTTTCCACCCGGCCTGTTGAAATGCAAATGTTTCCTGGTCCCTTATGAGCTCTGGGAATTGTTTGGCTGACAGCTCTCTAATTATTCTTTGTGAGCCTCATGAATTTAACCCTAGATAGCATGGCTTAGTACTCAATAAGAGAGTCAGGGGAACCCCTCTGTAGATTTATGGAGTTCTTC